ATAATCAATATGTAATATTACATATTATAAATATTTAGTACCATTTTTACTGTTATAATAATAATGGTTTGACATATCTTTCTAGTTATAAAATGATGTAATAAAGATTTACAAAAATGTACTTTAATTAAATATATTATTTATCAGTATGTATTACTAGTGAAAGTATTGTATTGATGATAATAACATTATTATTATCAATAATATAGGCACTACCATGATTGCTATCAATACTTCTGTTTTTAATAAGTGGGTGTAATACAGAAAATGGACAGCAGGGGGCAGGCGTGGGGATTTCTTACCAGCTCATCCCTCTGGATGTCCTCTGACTGGTAATGAACCTGCTTTACTGAAGCATTATCCTGAAAGTAGACACAGATGGCATGTTTTAATATGGCGGGGAGCCATGTACGCACTACAACCCCATACCGTCCAATCAGAAGTCCTCTCTCATTGTTCTGATTGCTGTAAACTAATGAAAAGTGAAACCTGATTGGACGGGACGGGCGGCTGCATATTATTGCCCCTTTTGGTAGAATCATCCTTTCCATCTCACCTTCTGGCTGGGGAACGTCAAGGTTCGCTCGCTGGGGGGGAAGTCTGAGTACAAGTCCCAGACGGCGGAGCCTGCAAGGAAAAGTACCAAATTATAGAGCCGATCAAGCAACAGGCAGATACAGCACAGCCAATGAACTTCAACATTCACCACGGCCAGGGCCGGATTTCCCACAAGGCCAACCAAGGCCAGGCCTTGGGGCAGCAGGGAGTAGAGGGGCAGCAGGGGTGAGGAATTCCTTTCTCCAGATGCCCGGGACATGCAGTTCCGGGCGCCTGGCAGGTAATTGTTTTATACATTTAGCCCTGCTTTGGGCAAGCCGAGCTAAATGTACAGCGGAGAAGCCGAAGCTTGCTATGTACAAGTGATCCCGGTGATGTCGCCGAGATCACTTGTTGCATGCATGCAGCCTGCAGGTCTGTCATCCTCCATTGTCCCCCCGGGGGGGGGGGGGGGGGAGCATTGAGGAACCTGACCTTGGGGCAGCAGAGAGAGTAAATCCAGCCCTGACCTTGGCTAAACATATAAAAGTTACATCACAGGTACGAGCAGCGAACTCCCATCCTTATAAAAACATATCTGAGAAAGATATAGAAAACTATTCATGGGTGTGTTACTCTCCATCATCTGCCAAACACCGAGATGTCACTTTTGGGTGGACTGGCCCTTTAAAATGCACTAAATCTAGCATTGCGCAATCTCTCTCTCCCTTAAAGGAGAACTATGGGGTCAGGGCTTTTCCCCATAGTTCTCCTTAGGGTCACTGGAGGACACAAACTAGCGTCCTCCCGTCACCCTAAGCTCAGTATACCGCGAGCTACATGGACGTCGAGATCCGCCCAGCTGCGTGAGTGACAGCTGGCTCTGCCTATCTAGAGGCAGAGCCAGCTGTACCCGCCCCCTCCCGCGTCCGTTCCACCAGTCAGTGCTGGCGGATCGGAGCGGGGAGGGGGGAATCCAGCCCTACCCTGTCACGGCTGAGAGCCGTGACAGGATCGAGAGGTGAGTGAACGCCGGTATGTGTTCGCTCACTTCCCGATCTACTGAGCCGACCTGTGACAGTCTCATTGTCACAGGTCGGCTAGAACTATGAGGTGAGTGAAAAGCACCCCCCTCATAGTTCTCCTTTAACACCAAGAGCTTAACATACAACAACAATATCAATGAAACGTATCCAAGTTGTAATCATTCTAGAACATTGCCGTCCACAAAGTGTAACAATAAACGTCCAACTTTCCTTGCGGATCGAACATTATGAGACAGACGATGTTTACTGACCTTTTCTCTCGATCTGCTGGGAGTCTGGTTAGAGGTCCAAAAGGCGAAAAAGAAAGGGGAGACAGGAAGTTCCCGGAGAGACAGCGAGGAAAATAGAGAGAGAGATAAGTCAGTGGGAGAGCAAGAGAGAAGTGTCGGAGAAGAGTGATGGAGAGAAATCTGACAGGTTCTATAAAATGTCGCTCCTACCACAGATCAGCGGGGATGGCGATGACTGGACATATATATATAAAGTGTTGGTCCCTTCCTACAGGCCAGCCAGTTATACAACCGAGCTCATCCTGGACCTCCTTCTGACCCTCCCAGGCTAGGAAGTGGTTGAAAACCAACTCAGAAACACTCTAAAAAGGCCTGCTGAACCCGGGTATAATGGCTATAGGTAAAATGAGTGGATGTTCTGACCTGAGTACTGCTGCAGTACCGTTGTACTGCGGTATTGTTATTTGGGTGTTGCTATTGCAGGGTATGGTCTATAGGTTGGGTTGGGTCCTGGCTTTGTAGTGGACCTCGGACACCTGTTATATAGGGTGGTGCAGCTGCAAGGTATGGCCTACAGGTTGGGTCCTTGCTTTGTAGTGGACCTCTGACTCCTGTTATTTGGAGTGGTGCAGCTGCAGGGTATGGTCTATAGGTTGGGTTGGGTCCTTGCTTTGTAGTGGGCCACTGACTCCTGTTATTTAGAGTGGTGCAGCTGCAGGATATGGCCTACAGGTTGGGTCATGGCTTTGTAGTGGACCTCTGACTTCTGTTATTTGGGGTGGTGAAGCTGCAGGGTATGGCCTACAGGTTGGGTTGGGCCCTGGCTTTGCAGTGGACCTCTGACTCCTGTTACTTGGGGTGGTGCAGCTGCAGGGTATGGCCTACAGGTTGGGTTGGTTCCTGGCTTTGTAGTGATCCTCCTACTCCTCACCTTCTCCTTGGGATGTCTCGGCAGAGGTCTGTGGTGGAACCCTGATCTCGGGGTAATCGCTGTCTTCGCTGAGTTTCTTCTGAGAGGAGGTTAGAAGGTCTCCGGCTCCAACCCACTCTGTGTGCAGCCAGGTCTCTGCAAGAGAGCTGACACTCAGTGATCCGGGGTACATGCTGTCATGTTTCTGTCATGCCACACATTAGCAGGAGTGATAATACTCACCAATCTGGCTGCGGAGTTCGGGGGACAGTTGGGGGTTCCGGTACAGGAGAGACAGGGACTGGTTGACCCGTTCTTCAATGACACGAAGGTGGGTGAGAACCTGAAAGAGCCAGAGAGAAGAAGGGTGAGTGGCACCAAATATAACTGCTGCATGTTGGAGAGTTAAACTTCTTGGCAGTCTATTATAACTCTCGGGGGGCTTCATTGGTGAGATCCCTGCACTGAGTTACCTGGTCTACACACCAGCTGTGCCCATTATGAGGGGTTCCCACCACCCCCGTGCTGAGTTCTCAGGTCTGTACATCTAAGAGGTCCTTTTTGAGGAGTTTCCACCATCCCTGCTCTGAGTTCCCGGGTCTGTACACCTGGTCTGCCCATTATGAGGGGCTCCCACCAAAACTCCAAGGTGAACAGGCACAGAGTTGGGAATTGTCATCCTCTGTGCAGCCGCATCCAGACTGGGAGAGGACAGGGCAGCACCTGAGCCAATCAGAAATATCTACATCCCCATGTGCTGGCAGGAGGATAGAACAGATGAGCAGAAGGATGACCTTATCAGTGCTGTTCCTTCATTCTCCCTTAAGCATGTTGGGGGTGCTGCTGCAGACACGGAGGTCAGGGACCTGGGTGTGTTGACCGGATTGCAAAATCGGCTGAACAGAATTCCATATCCTTTGGGAGGAAAAGTAGCTCCCGTATATGTACTACAGATGTGTGCAAGGGCATCTAGAAGGGTCTCACCTGGAACTGGATGGTCTCAGCTCGGTCAGGTTCCGCACTGCTCACATGCTGGTAATGGCGGACGGTATGGCGTTGGTCTCGTTGCTCCGCGTGTATGTACCTCTTCAGTGCCAGCAGCACTCGCTCTGGCTGTTCAGAACAAAACAAGGTGAGGTCAGTCTATAGAGGGCCATAGATGACCTTGTAGAGGTTTATGTGCAAGTTGCCCCTCTAAAAGAGAAAATGGCTTCTGGATGAAAGCTATTAGTACGTGGAAGGACATGTGTCAGATGGATCAGACGTAGGGCGGGCACTTACATCGAGGGGTGTGGTCTGCACAGCCGCCAGGTAGTTCTCCAGCGCGGCCCTGCGGTTGTCATTGAGAGCGGCCACCACCCGTCCCAGGTGGGTCTCCACCAGTCGCTGGCGCTGAGCAGATATCTGGCTCTCCAGGGTCTGCAGAATGGACTGGAAGTGCTGAAAGGAGAAGAAGTCACAGTTATTGGTTAAGTGCTGGTTTGCATTTTGGAATATACCAAAGCCTGAGGACCGCCATGGCAGCATGGGAACTAGCTCCTTTAGAAGGTAGTCTCTGGGTAAGTGGACCCCGGAGGACGTTACCTTGTTAGCCGCAGCTGGCGGTCATATGGCGCAGTATGACGTGGACTTTGCCGCGTAACCGTATACTTTGTTACACAAGCTCTCTATCTGTCAAGCTGTCAGGTTCCACATTTTGTTTTTATGACAAGGAATTATCAGCCGGCTTGGGTTTCACAATATCTCCATTCTCTCTCCCTGTAATGTTATCTGTTGTAGTCACCAGTAATACGACCCTCTGAGAGAGGCCTAAGAGGACCTAAAAGCTATTACTTTAGGGATTTCGGAAATTAATGACTTGCCCATCTGCTCCTCATGCTGAATTTTTTTCCCCCTTTTGCTTAATGGTAGGACGGACTCCAGGGGATTGGAGCTCATGCCGGAGGAATTCTTGTTGTTTAAAAATAAATGCTTTTTGGGCTTTTATGGATTTTCTAGTAATATACCTTTATATTACAC